CACATCTTTCCCAACATGACGAGAAATTTCTTTCCAAGTTCTTCGCAGATTTCAGCAGATTCATAACAAATTCTTTGGATTCAATTCATCAACGTCTTTCGATCATATGCATACGAGCTACGAGCAACTGCTTTGCAGTAGTGCTAGTTACAACTGCAGTATGGCATGTTTCGAGAAGAAGGATATACGTATACAAAGTGACCAGGACACTAGTTACGGATCAACTGGCTTCTTGAGTAGAGCCCTGAGCCATGTGAAGCTGGCTCCTGATCGCGAAGGTTTTCTTGACCATGGAGCTGTTGCACCTCCTGATTGGCTGCATCATCTTGGGCGCCTGCACCAATTGCGTCTTGCGCCGTCGTTTCGCATCCTCTGCTTCTTGGTAACCTTGGCGGAGCTTGCGCTTCGCGGCTTCCATCTTGTCCTCCGAGAAGAACCCGACACGGTCACCGTCGACGAAGCCGGCGGCAGGATCAGACGCTTTTTTGATGATTTTCGTCGTCTTCTTGGCCAAAGGCTCGCCGAAGATCTTGGGAGGCCGCTTCGCCTTCGCGTCGGAGACATCCTGCTGCTTGCCGACGGTCACCTTGGGCTGCGGCAGCTTCTTCATTGGCATGACTGGTGTGACCTTGACGACGTCGTCCTCGACAGAGGCCTCCCACCCACTGACATCGTCCTCAATAGTGGATACTAGGGATCAAACCCTAACAAAACTAACTCGATTACATGGTGAATCTCATCCAACCCATCAGGGTCCAGCAAGCCTACGAAGGAATTACTCACGCACGGCGGTGAGCATCATGAAATTGGTGATGGAGGATGGTTGATAATGACGACAGCGACGAATCCCCCTCTCCGGAGCCCCGAACGGACTCCAGATCAGCCCTCCCGAGAGGTTTTAGGGCTTGGCGGCGGCTCTGTATCGTAAAACGCGATGATTTCTTCTCTCCTATTTTTTTCTCCTCGAAAGCAGTTATATAGAGTTGGAGTTGGATTCGGGGGGTCTCTAGGGGGCCCACGAGGTAGGGGGCGCGCCCTAGGGGGGCGCCCCCCACCCTCATGAGAAGGGTGTGGGCCCCCTGGTCTTCATCTTTGGCGAGGATTTTTTATTATTTATTGTAAGATATTCCGTGGAGTTTTAGGTCATTCCGAGAACTTTTGTTTTCTGCACATAAAACAACATCATGGCAATTCTGCTGAAAACAGCGTCAGTCCGGGTTAGTTCCATTCAAATCATACAAGTTAGAGTCCAAAACAAGGGCAAAAGTGTTTGGAAAAGTAGATACGACGGAGACGTATCACGACGCCTCCTCCAGCCGCGGCGCTGGCGCCCCTGGCACCCCCGACGTTGGCGCCCGCGGCCCCCGTGGCGCCTTCGGTGCCCGCGGCACCCCCAGCGCCCCCGACGTTGGCGCCCGCGGCCCCCCTGGCGTCCCCGGTGCCCGCAGCCCCCTCGGTGCCCGCCGCCCCCTCGGCGCCCGCGCCCTGGCGCCTGTGGCCGGTCCGGTCACCCGCACATGTACGGGCGTTTTTCGTCCCCCCTTGGCGCCCCCGGCGCCACCGCGCCCACGTCCCCCCGACGCCTGTGGCCGGTCCGGTCACCCACGCTCGTACGGGCGTTTTTCGCCCGACCTCGTGCTATGACTTGGATGACTACGTCCATGCGGCGTCCACCTCTGAGTCGTCGCCGTTGCCGTCCTCCGTTCGAGCCGCTCTTCGTGGCCCGCTCTGGATGGTTGCGATGCAAGAGGATTTTGACGCCCTGTTGCGCAACCGGACGTGGTAGCTTGTTCCCCGTCCCCGGTACGCCAACGTGATTACCGGAAAGTGGGTCTTCAAACACAAGCTCCGTCCTAATGGTACCCTTGATCGCTACAAAGCGTGTTGGGTCATTTGTGGCTTCCGACAGCGTGCTGACATCGACTTCACCGACACCTTCGCTCCGGTCGTCAAACCCGGCACGATACGCACGGTTCTCCACCTTGCGGTCTCCCGTGCTTGGCCGGTGCACCAGATGGACGTCTCCAACGCCTTCCTCCATGGTCACCTCGAGGAGCAGGTCTTCTGCCAGCTGCCCACCGGGTTTGTTGACCCGGCACTTCCCGACCACGTGTGCTTGCTTTCGCGGTCCTTGTACGGACTGAAGCAGACTCCGCGCGCTTGGTACCAACGCATCGCAGCATTTCTCCACCAGCTTGGGTTCCGCTCTACCCGCTCGGACGCCTCGCTCTTCGTCTATTATCAGGGCTCTGACACGGCCTACTTGCTGCTCTATGTTGACGACATCATCCTGATGGCATGTACGGCTAGTCTCCTCAGTCAGCTCATGGCTCGTCTTCGCGCTGAGTTCGCCATCAAGGACTTGGGTCCTTTGCACTACTTCCTCGGTGTCGAGGTGGTGCGCCGTCCGGATGGCTTCTTCCTTCATCAGCGGAAGTACGCTCATGAGCTCCTCAAGCACGCCGTCATGCTTAACTGCAAGCCCGCCGCTACGCCTGTTGATACGAAGGCCAAACTTTCTGCCACGGATGGTTCTCCTGCTTCGGATGGTGCTTTTTATCGGTCTCTTTTTGGTACTCTCCAGTACCTCACTCTGACTCGATCGGAGATCCAGTATGCCGTGCAACAGGTGTGTCTTCATATGCATGCTCCTCGAGACGTTCACTGGGCTGCCGTCAAGCAGATTCTCCGTTATATCTGTGGCACTATGGATCTTGGCGTCACGCTTCACGCCTCTGCCGACACCGCCCTCACCGCCTACTCCGATGCAGACTGGACGGGCTGCCCTGACACTCGTCGCTCCACTTCGGGCTATTGTGTCTATCTTGGACCCTCACTCATCTCGTGGTCGTCCAAGCGGCAGCCTACGGTCTCTCATTCCAGTGCTGAGGCTGAGTATCGTGCGGTGGCCAACGCCGTCGCTGAGTGTTCGTGGCTTCGCCAGCTGCTGCAGGAGCTCTTTTCCCTGTTGACCGTGCCACAGTGGTCTACTGCGACAACGTCTCGGCGGTCTACCTCTCCGCTAACCTGGTGCATCATCGACGGACCAAACATATTGAGTTGGATATTCATTTTGTTCGGGAATAGGTGGCCCTTGGCCATATTCGCGTTTTGCACGTCCCTTACTTCACAACAATTTGCCGATATCATGACCAAGGGCTTGCCTATGGCGTCACTTGAGGAGTTTCGGTCCAATCTTTGCGTCAGCCGCGGTGCCGCTTCGACTACCAGGGGGGTTGAGTATATGTGTTATGTGCATATTGTGTATTGGGCCCGCCTCCTAGTTCCTTGTATAGTTGAGGTCCATGGCCCATCTTTGTACATCATATATACGTGCCTATGCACGAAGAGCGATACATCGTGCAATTACAACATCTTTGTGCATATTTTGTATTGGGCGCCGCTACGCGTCCGCCGACGGATGTGTTAGAAACATCCGTCACTCGAAGAGCCGTTTGATTAGACACTCGACAGCCGTCGGATGCAACCATCACTCGCAATTGACCAGGTCGTTACTTCCTGCAACAGACGTTCTGTTTCAGAAACATAATCCCCTGTACGCCGCCGTCCAGACACAACCCCGCCCATTACTTCCTGCAACAAGACTCGTGTTGCGAACCTAATTCCTGCAACACAACCCAGTTACAAAATTTATTCTCCTTTTTCCTGCAACAAGACTCTTGTCGCGAACCTAATTCCTGCAACAAGTGCAACAAGACCCCAGATGCAAAATTTATTCTCCTTTTTCCTGCAACAAGACTCTTGTTGCGAACCTAATTCCTGCAACAAGATCTCAGTTGCAAAATTTGCAATATCTACAACCTCTTCTTTGTATTCTTCCAAAAGACCATTGTTGCAAAATTTGCAGCAGCATCTCTTACCTCTTCTCTGTATTCCTGCAACAAACCCCTTGTTGCAATTTTACCCAACAAAGAACATGATGCAGAAAACTTCACCTCGTCCCAGCCGCCATTACAATAACACCATTGTTACAGGAACTGCTGCTGCATGCGGTACTGGCGTTTGTAGCTGACCTTGAGGAAGCGGCAGTCATGCCTATCCACACCAGTGCTCCTCCAGGACGGTGACACAGTGCTCCGGCAGTGGCGTGCCTCACAGAGGAAAGAGGGAAAGGAGGAGGGAGGAGAAGAGGACGGGCGCGGGTGGCAGAGCAACAACGTTTGGTTTGATGCAGTGGAGGTGGAAGAAGAGGTTGGGAAAGAAAGATGTGGATGGGATCTGTTTGTTGGAGATAAGGAAAAATTAAAGCGATGGTGCAGGCTCACGTGGGCACGTGGCGCACAGGAGAGACGGCGGACGTTTAGCATTGGATCCGTCGGATGATTAGAATCTTTTCCCTTTGTTGATTGCTGCGTGCAGAATAACATAATACGAGGCAAACACATCTTTCCCAACATGATGAGAAATTTCTTTCCAAGTTCTTCGCAGATTTCAGCAGATTCTAACAACTTTTTTGGATTCAATTCATCAACTTCTTTCGATCATGTGCATACGAGCTACGAGCAACTGCTTTGCAAAGTGACCAGGACACTAGTTATGGATCAACTGGCTTCTTGGCTAGAGCCCTAAGCCATGTGAAGCTGGCTCCTGATCGCGAAGGTTTTCTTGACCATGGAGCTGCTGCACCTCCTGATTGGCTGCATCATCTTGGGCGCCTGCACCAACTGCGTCTTGCGCCGCCGTTTCGCGTCCTCTGCTCCTTGGTAACCTTGGCGAAGCTTGCACTTCGCGGCTTCCATCTTGTCCTCCGAGAAGAACCCGGCACGGTCACCGTCGACGAAGCCGGCGGCAGGATCGGACGCCTTTTTGATGATTTCCGTCGTCTTCTTGGCCAAAGGCTCGCGGAAGATCTTGGGAGGCCGCTTCGCCTTCGCGTCGGAGACATCCTGCTGCTTGCCGATGGTCGCCTTGGGCTGCGGCAGCTTCTTCATTGGCATGACTGGTGTGACCTTGACGACGTCGTCCTCGACAGAGGCCTCTTACCCGCTGACGATGCCGCGCGCGAGGAGGCGGACGCGCTCCGAGTCGTGCTCCCGCAGCGCACGCACAGACTCGGCGAGTTCCGTGGGGATGGGCACCCCCGGCGTTGATGGAACCACCCTGAGCGTCTCGAGAGACTCTGCCATGAGGTCGTCGAGAATCCCGCAGATACGCTCCGCCTGGTCCTCGTCGGCGGCGTTGCCGAGCCCTTCCAACAGGTCACCCCTCGCGCGCTGGAACACGTGGCGTGAATATTGGTCTGGGTCGGCGGCCTCGATGGCGGCGTCCACGGAGTCGAAGGCGCCGTAGAAGCTCTTCCACCGGCGGAGCATCTGCGCGGCCATGGCAGCGGCTTTTCCGCGAGCTCCTGTGATGGATTTTGGAGTGGATGGAGAAATGGGGAGGATTGGATGGAGAAATTGGGAAGGAAGACGACAATCGCCTACCACGGGGCCCCCAATCGACTTATATCTCTCGGCAAGGCGGTGGCCGTACTCCAGTCGGACGTGAGCAGAGCGCCACTCCCGGTCGAATTCGGAAGCGCGTTTCACTCCAGGAATCCGATCGAACAGCGGCAAACGCGCACCATGCATTGCGCGCGCGCCACGAAAAATTGCTCTCCGACACGCACCAGCAGAGGGGGCGGGAACCCCATGGCCACCGTCTCGCGAAGAGCCGCTGCGGAAGCCGCCATTGGCGCCATGATCGATGACCACGCCGCCGGCTCCCGCAAGAGACGCCGCTGACTCGCGTGCTCGGGAAGGGCGGCTTGGGCGTCGTCGTCAAGGACATCGCCCTGAAATGCCTCATCCGCTCGCCCGACGACGGCAGCAGCAAGAGGAGGCGCCGTGCCCACGTGCTCCTGCTGCGTGAGGCGTGCTACCTCGCGGCGTGCCGCGGCCACCCCTCCGTCGTCGGCTTGCACGGCATCGCGCGGGACCCCCACACCGGGCAGTGCAGCCTCGTGCTGGAGCACGTCGGCCCGAGCCTCAGCCGCGTTCTGCTTGATCGCCGCGGGCCGTTCTCGGAGGAGGAGAAGCGCCACGTCCTGCGGCAGATACTGGGCGGCGCCGGGAGAATGTACGAGCGCGGCATCGTCCACAGGGACATCAGGACCGGGAACATCCTCGTCGGCGGCGAGGACGTGGTGAAGATATGTGATCTCGGGCTGGCTATTTCCATGATGAGCGCCACGACGCCGAGCGGCTAGGCCGGCACGCTCTGGTACATGGCCCCCGAGATGCTCCTGGGGAAGCCGGACCACCACGAGCTCGTGGACGCCTGGTCGCTCGGCTGCGTCATGGCGGAGCTGCTCGCCGGCGAGCCACTGTTCCCTGGCCACAGCGCGAACGCATGCACGCACTGCACCTTGTAAGCATGCTTGAAAAGTGTACAAAGCTTGAGCTGTAATGGAATTGTAAACGAGTTGGTTTGACATAGTGCCATATCACTGTGCTATCAATACTGCAGACCAGTACACGTCTCCACGACACGCGACATGGAGAGCCGATCGGTGATCAGCATAGAAAAAAAATTAGCCTTTGTTGGGAGAGCATCCGGAAATAAAATGCTGGTTGTTCCACGGACATTTCCACTCAAAACGTCGAACATAAACCGTTTCTTGCTGTTGCATTGTACAGCAAACAAGGCCAACGGCACCCCTGACCTCTACAAAACCGCTGTTCCCGTTGACAGCATTTGCTACCATTGCTCAAGGATATCTGGCAGACGCAATGTAGGAAGGAGCGGAGCTCTGTAGGGGCAAAACAGGGCCATGGCCCGCCCAGGAATTTGACCAATTTTTTTTACCTATGTGTCATCGCAGCCCAGCCCATTGACACTGAGCCCACGCACGCACAGGCAACATCTCGTCTCCTCGTCTCTGTCTCACGCACAGGCACGCACAGGCCTCCCCAACTCCCCATCCTCTCTCTCACGTTCATGTAGCCGCCGCCGACCGCCGACCGCCGTGGAGCAATGGGAGGCACGCCGGCCCCCTTCTCGCGGAGAAACCGCCGCGGCGACGCACGCGGGCCCCCTTCTCGCGGAGAAACCGCCGCGGCGACGCACGCCAGCCCCCATTCTCGCGTAGAAACCACCGCGCGACGCCAGCCATCGCTGGGATTTCGCCTCGCGCCCTTGCTCCTGCCCTGCTCCCTACCGCAGCGGCGCCGCCCATAATGCACCGACCATCAGTTCGTCGTGCGTGCTGCCGGCCATCAATTCCTGCCGTTGTTCTCCTAATCTCCTCCAACTCCAAATAGGGCAGCGCATGACCTGACTCGTGAGCGAGTTCCCATGACTCCCCCCTGCCCCATCACACACAGGTACATGTGCAATTTGATAAGCAATAGCCTGATTCTTTTATTTGGAGATTTTGTTCAGTTTCATACATCCAGTGACCAGTCCTGCTAGTGAAGTAGTGATAAATAATAGCCTGATGATTTGATCATATGCAAATTGCAATATAGGCAGTCATGGACAAGGAAAATCAGACCGAAAGAAGCATTGATTTGATCTTTAAAAGAAAAAGAGATGACACATCTTCTAGCTCAATCTTGTGACATGTCCTTATGATTCATAATTTGGAAAAAAAAATTGCTCTCCTTTAGTCTGGCCCGCCCAATTTTTTCTTTCAAGCTCCGCCACTGGATGTAGACATAAAACTGGGACACCAGGGGAATACATGGTTTATAATATAGTACGGTGGTAACCAATACTAGTGTCCTGTGATTTAGCAAAACTTTTCTATCAATTTGAAAACACCAAAAATGTGACCCAGCCGGGCCTCTCAAATCTGTCCCACACATCCGAACTGACCAGAAGTCCCATATCCGACCCATATCTGGGTGGATATGGGAAACCCGGACGCGCCTAGACACCGCCGCCATGTCAGACCGGCCCGCTATGCGATCCTTAGCGTAATGATCGCCCACTAGCAACCATAGACCGGCCAGCCCATTATAAATCAAGAAAACTGCCAACACCGCTTTTAATAGGTTCCTAAATTATCTTTCAAACATACTAGAAAGTTCCTGAATATTTTATTTACTTTACTGGTGTTCTCTTTTTTTACTCTTTTCTTAGACATTTATGTTTTAATAATTTTAAAAGAATCAAAATTGATCGAGGTTCTAAAATTTGTTTGTTTTTTCAAAAGTGGTTGCAATTTTCAACTCGCTTGTGTTTTAAAAAAAGCAAGAAAATTTATAATTATTCACAATTTTAGAAAATGTTTGGAACTTGAAGAAATATTCACAAATTTATAAAAAAATGTTCAAAAAATGTTCACTTAGAAAAAAGAGAATATTTGAAAGAAAAATATGTTTTGAAAATTTGTTTAGGGTTTTAGGAAAATGCTTGAAAATTCAAAAAATGTTCGCATTTCAAAAAACTTGTTCTTGATTTCAATTTTCTTTTGAGATTTTCAAAAATTGTGTGTGCTTTTAAAAATTATTCATGATTTGAAAAATGTTAGAGGAAATTTATTGTATTTTGCATGAAACATGTTTTGAATTTGCAAACATCTTTCTAAAATCATGAATATTTAATGTTTTTGAATTTCGAGAAATGAACATATTTTAAAGTCGGGAACCTTTTTAGAATTCTGGAACATTTTTTGAATGCACATGAAAAAAGAACGAATTCGCAAAAAAAGTATTCGTAAGTTTTTTGATCAAATTAATAATTAAACTAACCATAAATACGTGTACTCCCTCGTTGAGCCATGCGCATCATACACGGGGGATGTGAGTGTAACGCTCGCTGTGAATTTTTTTTGAGGGGCAAAAGGGATTTTATTCGCTGATAACAATGTGCGGAATACAAATGATATTGGGCAAAATCCCTAGCCACAAGTGGCGCCCGGCTGCAAGAGAAGTAGCAGCCTTAACCAAAGCATGAGCTTCATCGTTCGACTAACGAAATTCAAAAGAAAAATTAACAAACTCTAGTTCCTCCATGCGGTCCCTTATCTCGTGTAGGACCGGGCCATAAACCGGCGCTCCTCCCTTGTTGATATTGTTCATCACCTCAAGGCAATCTGAGGCCACCTGAACTCTCCGCAGATTCAGATCTTTGGCCAGTGCTAAAGCTTCATTGCATGCTTGTGCTTCGAGACTAGGTGGATCCACTAGGCCATCGAAAACAATTGCAGAAGCTCCCAAAAAGGCTCCCGCTTCATCTCTGCATATGACAGCCGCTGCTCCTCGTGCTCCATTCCTCGAGACCCCTCCATCTACATTCATCTTCACGTTACCAGTAGCCGGTTTTAGCCATCTGTTGGTCCTCCTGGCGCGATCTGTAACCGGAACTATGTTCCTTCCACAAGCGGATGCTATACTCAGATCCTCAAGATAGAGGTTTATGAAGCTCATGGTGCTCAATGGGCTCTGAAACTCCCCATCATGAATCGCTCATCGTCGCGCCCACCATATGGCCCACATGGTTACCAACACCCGCGCTAGATCCTGCTGATTCAGAGCCTCAAACAGCCAAAAAAGCCATAGTCGCGCGTCTTCTATCCGAGTTGATATCACATGCTCCAGGGTGTCCTCATCTACCAAGGCCCAGACACACCTCGCATACGGCACTCAAAGAGTGAATGCCTCCATGTATCCTCAGCCGAGTTACAAATTGAGCACACGTCTGTATCCGCCATCTTGCGCTCATGCCTCGTCGTTCTAGTCGGTAGCGATGTATGTGCCAATCTCCAGGTAAACACTCGCACCTTTGCTGGGACTTTAACCTTCCACAGATACGTCCATGATTTCTTGTCCGCCTCTTGATTGGAGTGTCCTGTTCGCTCCTCCAACCACGCCTCCCGCTACGCCAGGATGCCAGTAATCATCCTGTATGCCGATCGGACGGAAAACACCCCTCGTTTGTCATAGTGCCAGGACCAATAATCCTCCTGTATATGAGAGATTAGCGGAATGTTCTTAATAACATCAACATGAGGACCGACAAAATGATCATGCAGCTTCTGAACATTCCACGTCTTCGTCCCGCTATTTATCAATTCATACACCATCAGTGGCGGGTTTTGTGAGATAGTACATAGTGGCCGAAGATTAAAATCCCTTGGCAGCCAATTTTTATACCAGATCCTAGTCTCCTGCCCCGTGCCAATCCGCTTTATCAAGCCCAAATTGAGCACATCTCTTCCTCCAGTAAGGCTCTCCATACTTGCGACAGATTCGAACCAATGCTTGTTGTTAATATATCACTCTCGGTGTGATACCTTGCTTTGATAATTCGAGCACTAAGAGAATTCGGCTCTTGCATTAATCTCCAAACTTGCCTTGCAAGAAGTGTCAAGTTAAATAGGTCTATGTCACGAAAA